TATTCAATATTATTTAATTGTCTAGTGAGCCAGAGTTATCTTGATGACTGAAACAGCATGTAAATCAATGGTGGGATTCACATTTTTTTACTACCAGTTCTGAGCGGATGGCTTTGTGGGCGTGGCAGGGGAAGGATACTGTAAAATCTCCAGTTAGATATGGCATTTGCCGGTTCTCTGAACTACTCATAATTTCTGCTACCAGTTCTCTGGAACTGGCCAGAACCTGCTGAATACTACCTCTGATGTAAATGTGATAAATAAATCAGCTTATCTCATATCCTAGACAAAGGTTTGATACCTTACTCATGAATAGGCCAGGAGAATATTATTTAAAAATAAAAATATTGGATCTTGCATAAAACTATATTTTAAAAGAAAATTCTTCTTATCAACCTACATGATGATTCAAAATATGCTAAAGCTATTTTTCATTGGAATAGTTCAGTTGATGATGAGTATCCTGATTAAAGACCTAAAACACATTTTGAGCCTCAACAACCAAAAATCATCCCACAATATAGACTTATGCCAGCATTCCTTGGTAATCTCCATAACAGGGAGTGGGAAATGTTCTATGTTCTCAATTGATGTGAAATTATTATGGATGTTAAAGTTCTCTTTCCATAATTATACTGTTGTATGTTAGGGGCCTCAAATAACTTTCAGGCATTTTATTTGAATGATGAACTTCATATCTATTTTAAGTCTGGTAGTTTCTCAAAGCTTCATTTCTGTAAATCAGCTACATTGTGAAATCTTTAAAAATCTTGTTGCATTATTTCATACATTGATTCAACTTTTACCAACAGGACATCTTCTGTATGCTTGGGACTACAAATTCCACATCTGGTTCAGGGGTGGGATTCAATTTTTTTTACTACTGGTTCTATGGGCATGGCTTGGTAGGCGTGGCAGGGGAAGGATACTGTAAAATCTCCAGTCAGAGGTGGTATTTGCCGGTTCTCCAAATTACTCCAAATTTCCACTACCAGTTTTCCAGAACTGGTCACAGCCTGCTGAATACCACCACCCCTGATCTGGTTCCAGTTAATAAACATACCTCTAAATCCTTAGATTACAAACTTCAGTCACTTGGAACAAAGGCTTTACAACCCAAATCTATGTATATGTAGAAAACATTATATTGGCTTGCTTGTCACAAATCAAGAAATTATCATTTATTTATTTATTTGATTTGTCAATTGTTTACAGGATAATAGATATAAACATGAATAAGTGTGCTGTCCCAGCCAGTCTATGGGAATTGGATAGTTACTTAGGAATTATGAGCTGTCCCCTTAAGGGAATACATCATGGTAAATGTAGTTAAAGGTATCCTGGGAAATGTAGTTCATGTCACGTGGCCACATCTCTAATCGTGATTGGTCACTGAATTGACCCTCAAAAGGTGGGGGAGGTTAATAGGTATGAATAAATGGGGACAATAGGACAGGGAGGGGAGGCACGATGGTGCACTTATGCACACCCCTTACAGACTTCTTAGGAATGGGGTGAGGTCAATTGTGGATAATTTGAGGTTGAAGGAGTGGGGGTTAGAGGATGTAACAACAGAGTCAGGTAGTACATTCCAGGCATTGACCACTCTGTTGCTGAAGTCGTACTTTCTGCAATCAAGTTTGACATGATTTATATTAAGTTTGTATCTGTTGTGTGCTCTTGTATTGTTGTGGTTGAAGCTGTAGTAGTCATTGACTGATAGGACATTGTAGCGGATAATTCTGTGTGCTATGCTTAAGTCCAACCATAAGTGGCATAGTTCAAGGTTGTCCAAAGTCCAATCCCAAAACCTCAAGCCTGGTGACATAGGGTATTCTGTTGTGAGCAGAGGAGTGTAATACTCTTTTTGTGAAATACTTCTGGACTCGTCAATTATATTAATGTCCAATATACAGTGCGGATTCTAGACTGATGAGCTGTATTTGAGTATTGGTCTAGCAAAAGTTTTGTATGCTCTAGTTAGCAATTCAATATTTCCGGAAGAGAAGCTTCATAAGATTAGATTTACAACTCTTAATGCCTTTTTGGCAATGCTGTTACAATGAGCTCTGGCACTTAGGTAATTTGATATAACTACTCCAAGGTCCTTGACAGAGTGAGGGTCATCAACAAGGTCATATCCACCTAGTTTGTACTTGGTGTACTGATTTTTTTTTACCAATGTGTAGAACAGAGCATTTGTTGCTCAAGATTTGGAGTTGCCAATTGTTTGACCATTCAGACACATAATCAAGGTCACTTTGAAGAACAGTAGCATTGTGACAGTGCTTGTCACAATGGGAAATATTAAGCTTAACATCTTCATATCATTTGCCAAACCAACATACAAGTATAATACAAAATTATTTTTCGAAAGACAGCCAAGACTTTAATAGAAAATCCTGATTGTTTTTCAAAAATCAACAGAATCTGAAAGTGAAGTGTTTAGAAAGTAATTCTTATTTATGTAATGTTTGTACTAGATTTTGGAATGAAATATATATCTACCTTAACATTGTTCTTCTGCAATCTTCTACATATTTTTTAATAAACTCCACTGAAGAAAACAGGATTTATGTCAAACGAACAAGTACAGGAATGTTTAATATAACTATCTCTGATCTGAAGGATCCGATCTGAAGGAGTCATACTATTTCTTTTTGCTTAGCAAAACTTAATATCAAAAGAATTTAAAAAGGTATTTTCAATGAAATAAATCATAAAAATAATCTAAGAATAAACCTTATCACTTTCAATATTAGGAAAACACCAAAATCCGTGCAATGGCTACACATATTTTGCATGTAAATGCATACAATTGTGTTATGCCTTTGTCTTGTTATGTTTGTTTTCTTGTAACAAGTAATTTTATACATGTTATGAATGAACACAGAAATCTAGATACAGTATCTCCAAATAATCTCCAAATGATTCCCAGTTTCTTGAAAGAAAGTACAGAGGCTGGAGATCCATTTTAATAGAGTTTTACTTTTTAAAAAAAGAATTATGCTTAAGGGCATGTTTGTGCATGTATGTTAACTTAGACAACAATTTATCTACTGATAGTATTTCTTAAAGAAATAGGAAAAGTATATAAAATATATATAATAGTCTCATCTACAGCTAAATCACAAGATTTTTTTAGTCATAAAATATTATCTGGTGGTATCTTGTTAATTACCTTACTAATAATGTCATATTTCACTGGAATATTTGTGAAAGGAAAGTAAGCAGGATTTAAGCCTAAGGGCAGACTTTAATAGACTCATAACAAAGATAGCAATAAAAAAAAGACTTATTGCAAGAATTGATTGAGTACCATAGCATATATAGCATGTTTCAGCAGGGCAACATTCACATTTTAATAATTTATAGTATAGATAACTTACTAGTCTAGATAATGGGAACAGCCATAAAAGAGCAGAGCTGAAGCCAGCAAGCTGCATAGCAAAAGAAGATAATTATCCAATAAATTGCACTTGTTCTGTTTTGTCATATGCCTTGATGAATGTGTCTGTAAAATTTAAGCATGTGCTAATTTTAATATCTACATATTTTTCCCTTCTTACAGAAAGAGTTTAGAATATGATGCAAGATCACTTCTGAAATCAAGAAACATCAAGCCAACCTGAACATTTTGCATTTTTCTTGTTTGCTTGTTCTAATTGCTAGTGGTAACCTTAAGGAGTACTAATTCCTTTCCTAATGGGAACATTTGCATTGCAGCTATGTTTCTTGGCAACACAGCCATGTAATAACATAGCTGTCTGCAGTACAGAGTTTGCTTCATCCATCAACTTAAAATGAGTTCTTAGAGCAGTTTCTATATCAATTCACAGTACAATGATGTCTCAAACTCCCACCTCTACTTCAAACATAATTTACCAGCAGAATGGCTTTCTGAATAAATGAAAATTAAATTACAGGTCTGTTCACAATACCAAAACCTATTAGAGGTAAGGCTAAATTGAACAAGAAGTACAAAATTAAAAATAATCCCATCTGAATTGCCTTTGTCCCATTACTCCTTTTATCCTGTTGCTGTTTATGATTTGCAACTGCAAGTTTAGATATACGGATTTCAATGCAAACAGTTCATAATAAACAAACATAGATCAAGAAAACATAGCTTTTAACTAAATGTTAAAAAAGAATAGCATGTCTCTTCCATTCACACACACACACTATTTGTGTATGTATATATATATAATATTTTTATTTCTATTCTCACCTCTTCTCAACTTTTTTATTTAAAGATACTTGCAAACATTTACTTAAATCTATTCCTTTTTTGTTAGCAAAGGACTAAGTATATTAAAAGACTTAAAACATTTTAAGAAGATCCCATTTTATGAAGATCCCAGGATTTATCTGGGATTCTGTCCAAATCCAATCAGCTATTCACACCATCTCTTTCTCAGAGAGCTAAATCCATTATTTCCAGCTCAGAGATTTCTTCTTTGCTCACACTGCTTTATTTTCCCGGCGATAATTCCACTCAATCTAATGCTTTATTGTCTTTGGATATCTTCTAGTCCAGCAGGGTTGTCCAGTCAGGCTGAGGTCTCAACTATTATTCTATTTTCTGGGTGGAGGGGTGTTTCAATTTTTCTTCACATCTGTCATATAGTACCCCATAGCATTCAGCAACCAACTCCATAGATGTGCAAAGCATTCCTTCAGTTAAATGCCTCACTTTATCATACTCTTCCTCTACATTAGGGTTGTCAAACTTGATTTCATTGAAGGCAGCAACAGGATTGTGTTTGACATCAGGGTGGTGGTGGCTGGGGGTCAGAGATGGTATTCAGCAGGTGTTGACCAGTTCTGGAGAACCGGTAGTGGAAATTTTGAATAGTTTGGAGAACTACCACCTCTGACTGGAAATTTTACAGTATCCTTCCCCTGCCACGCCCACAAAGCCGTGCCCACAGAACTGATAGTAAAAAAAAATTGAATCCCACCACTGCTGGTGGGGTGTGTGGCCAGCTCAACATCATTTATGTCGGGAGCACCTATGGTGGCCCAAATGCTGTGCCAGAGAAAATAGGCTCCTGAGCTCCATTTTTGGCTGTGACAGCCTCCTGCAACCCTCTGTCAGCAAAAAAGAGCTTGGGAGGGCTGCACATGGCAGAGGGTTACAGGAGTCTGTCACAGCCAAAAATGGAGCTCAGAAGCCCATTTTCTCTGGCAGAGGCACCACGGGCTGATTCTTTGCTGTTTCCAGGGCAGTCCTGCAGGCCAGATCTAAGCATCCAATGGGCCGGATCCAGCCCCCAGGCCTTGAGTTTGACAGCCCTGCTCTAGATGGACAATAAATAATATATAGGTCCTTACAAACATGATTGCTCCAAGGGATATTGAACTATACAGCAGAAAAAGAAGCAAGCTGAAACTTCCTGATGACCCTGGTGATAGATAACAGAAATCACGTGGTTGTCTTTTCCTTCATGTAAAAGGACATTGTTTACATTTGAAGGTGCTAGAATAGGCTTGAGGTCTCCTCAGAAACGTCAAATTTCAAAACAATGGGGAAGCTGATAGAAAATCTGTCATCTTATCAGATGCTACATTCTGATTTTAAAGGTCATGCTGTAATTTACATTGCCTTTGTATGTCTTATGTATCTTACAATATAACATGAAACCTTGCTGGATTTAGGGTTCTTCTGTGTAACATGGTTCAGGAATTTAGAGGTCTCTGTAGCTGTATGCCCATTGGTTGCTCTATCTTCAAATATTTTGTTTCCTAATTTAAGTGGGGTTTCTTTTTCCACCACACCTAAATAAAAAAGATAAATAAACAATAAACTTTCTCACATTTATCAAATGCCTGCTGAAAAATAAAAATCTCATCTGTACACCTTTTACCCGGTAAACTCACACACAATTACACTTTCCAAATTCTGTACCTTTTTACTCTTGTATCAAATTTGTTTCATTTTTGCTCTTGGAAGTCCAAATTCTGCCAAATAGAATCCCAGTCAAACTTCACAAACTGTGATGACCCAGAGTGGGATACAAAACAAACACAGTCACAAAAAAACAGGAGAAGCCCCTTTTATTCCTTCACTTTGCTTCCAAGCTCCAAAAATCCTTGACTGCAGACAAAAAACTCCCACGCAAGCAGTTACAAGAAGGAGGAAATGCTGTTTCAATTATAAAGAGTAAAAAAACAACACAAACCAGGCAAGATAAGGGCTTGAAGACATCCACAGATATCAGAAAACACACTGGGAAGGACACCAAACTCAGAGAGGAACAATAAACTAGAGATATTTCCACGCTTTGTTTCCAGCACTCGCCCATAGCATGTCCATCCTCTTATCCAGTTGTCACAGCTGCAGCCCATGAAGAGGATCAAGGCCCTCTCCTCCCCAGTAGACCACCTCTGTCCCTTATCCTCTCCTCCCTGCGTGCCCTAGGATAGAGAGGGGATGGGCCTGGGTCCTTCTCTGACTGCCCAGCCGGCCTCTGCCCTTCCCCAGCCTCCTCCACAACCTCTGGAGCCACACTTCCACTCCCTGTCGGGGTTCGTCCTCTGACTCAGAGTCAGCCTCCACCAGGGACATGACATAAACTAAACTCTCTGTAGTTTTTGTGAATATGTTTTTGCTACTCTCACCTTTATTAGAGGAACAATAACAATATTTTTCCTAAATGTCAAGCATAGTTGCAAGATTTCACATATAAAACTTATTATTGATTTGTCTATCATTATTAAGTACTGCACTGAGCATACAGAAACTCTAACCACGATATTCCTACTTTCGTTCACAGCAGCAACAACCTAGATGACATCTGTTCACACTTTCTCATGTGCACTTTAATCCTTTCATTACTTGCCTATATTCATCAATTTTACTCCATAAGATCTGACTACCTTTAATAAGATCTAGGATATCTTTTATCTTAACTCATTATTGCATACACTTGTCTTTTGTTTCATTTTAGATGTTTATTTTGTACAATATTTTTAAAAGCGTTTTATTCTACCCTTGTTTTTTATGAATAACTCAAGGTAGTAAAAATACCAAGTACATCTTCCTCCTCCTATTTTCCCCACAACACCTTTGTATGGTGAGTAGGGTTGAGTGAGGGTAAGGAATGGCCCAAGGTCACCCAACTGGCCTAAGGCAGGATTAAAACTCCTCATCTCCTGGTTTCTAGCCTGGGCCTTAACCATTAGACCAAACTGACTCTTTTTACATTCTATATCAATAATTTGCCACATGCCAGAGTTGTTGCCAGATAGTCTTGAATGCCCCTTAATACTACAGATATTAATCTGTACTGTCAATCATGCTTTTAGTGAATTAAGGGTTTTGTTCAGCACATAGACAGAGAAGGTGCAGAATTATGTTACCAGAACCAGGTACACCAACGCTACTTGAATCTTTTTCAGTATGAATACAAGCAATATGAGTGCAATATCAGTTCCTGAGGCTGCAGATTGTAGAACTATAAGCCAGATTAATAAGTGTTTAATATGAATTGCCAGTTGACTTTGAACAACTATGTTCATGTTTTGCATTCCTGTTGTCAATTTTCTGCAAACCTGAATTACCTAGCATTTACTCTATTGCTAAGCTGCTGGTTTTGTAACACATCCCATGTTCTTGTTTTATTTTTACAAAACATTATTACAACTGAATTGTGTACAGATAGTCCTCAATGTACAACAGTTCATTTAGTGATCATTCAAAGATACAACGGCACTGAAAAAGGTGACTTATGACAATTTTTCACACTTTGCAGTATCCCCATGGTCACATGTTCAAAATTCAGATGCTTGGCAATTGACTCATATTTATGACGAAGACAATGTCCTGGGGTCATGTGATCTCATTTTGCAACTTTCTGCCAAGCAAAGTCAATGGGGAAGCCAGATTTACTTAACAACTTTGTTAATAACTTAACAACTGCAATGATTCACTTAACAACTGTGATCAATAAGGTCATAAAATGGGGCAAAATTAACTTAACAAATGTCTCGTTTAGCAACATAAATTTTGGGCTCAATTGTGGTTGCAATTCAAGCTCTGGCTGCATTAAACTAATACTATAATAGCATACTGAAACTATTTATTTTGGCCTAAAAGAGAATCAATAAATAAAGAATTAATATAGTGCCATTTCCTTAACTCCCTGTCCTATATTATGCTACAATGGTAGCAGCTGGGATAGTGGGAATTCTAGTATAAGTAAGCTAGCTATTAATGCATCCCAATCTAATCAGCGAAACAAAAATGTTGTACGCAAAAGGCCTTAACATCTAGTTTGATATTTTTGCACTATAGTAATAACACTACTAACAAAACAGCAGCAGCAGCAGCAGCAAACAATATATAAAAAACAATCCTGTGGATCTTTGTTTTAAAATTCCTTCAATTAATTCCTGAATCTATGGCTTATTATAAATTTCAGCAATCTGAATGTCTAAACAATCTTTTTAAAGGTAATTTGGGAAATGAGAATTTTTATTGTTTAGAAAAATACTGCAAAAGCAAGAACATTCAACATACTTAGATAGAAATACCAATGTGTTTATCTCAAGATGAGTGTATCATCTAATATTGCAACAATAATTTGTCAAAGATAGGATAAACAAGATTTCTAGCTCTACATGCAACACTGGAAACAAATTACATGCCAAAAGACTATATTTATTTTCATATTTAATAACCATAAACAATTTCAAAAGGTTTGCATGGGCATGGACAGCGACAAACCACAACTGATGTATGATGATGCATGTATGATGTATTAGTCTTTTTCTGCTATTTTTTCAACTAATTATGGAAAAACATAAATCAGTCCCTTTTAACACTGTAAGATAGTTTAAAACTTTTCGCCTGGGTGCAAAGAACTATGAAACTAGTAATCTTACTTCATGTGAATACACTAAAGAAATAAAACACATTATTATCTTAATGTGGAAATAGTAACCATGAGAAAAATCTATGCATCTTTGACACAATGAGAATGAGAAGGATTTTAATTTGCTAATCTCTTTGATAAAATCCTTGACTAAGGTTTCTAAATCCAAGAAATTGGGGAGGGTTCCTTCAGATTTGTCACATCCCCCTTTCTTCTGCAGATTCAGCTGATTCTTATCTGGCCATTGTTTAGTTTCAGGCTTTTCTCTTGTCTTCCAGCATCATTCCCACATACCATTGCACAAAGATAGCTAATATCTATCAAGGATTTTTGAAAGTTGTAGTTTCAACCTTTCTGCCAGGGAGATAAGTGGGCATGATACAACTGCAGTAGACTCAAATATTTTGGTAATCACAGGAAATTTGGGAGATGGGAGGGAGGGGGAATCATCTCATGGTTGCATTCTGCTAAAAGACCAGATGTCGATGACTTGATTTTAATCTTTACTACAAGAATTGCCTGCTCTTTGGTCTTTATTAAAAGAATTGTCTGTCAGCAGTACATACACAGGGTAGAAATATTGTTAAAATGGTCACAATGTGACACTTAATCTGGCTGCTACATCTGTATTTTATTTTGTTTCTAGGACACTTCCAGTATTAATGGCCCTTAGGCAAAATTTAATTGTATGCATGCTTCATTTAAATGCAAATAAAATGTGACCCTTTTTTTCTCCCTAAGGGAACTGTGGCAACCTGAAGCAGCAATCCTAGGATACCATTAAATGTGATTTTGATTTTAGCAAACAATGGTTTGTTCAAAAATAGGATTAATGTAGCCAAATACTGTGCAAATTCAGTATCTATTTGCACAGACATTAAAAGAACTTCTTCCAAGCACGTGTATCCCAGGTTGTAGCCTTAGAGCAGAATTCTATGTACATCTATTCAAATGTCCCATTCCAATCTTTTCAGATAAGTGTGTATACTGGTAATACTGAATCCTTAGAGAAGGGTGGTGAAGGTAACATAAAAGTGAAACAGTATGTCATATGCAGCTTTCTAAAATATATAACTTATTCCAGCAAAGAGGAAAAATACAACTGGCAACTCAATGGTAAAGCATCTATTTTAAAGGAAGTTTGATTCCTGTCATCTCCAAGAGAACAAGAAATATAATGAACAAAAAGCTCCTATTGGTTAAAGCCACTGGTGCTCAACTGGATGAACCGAAGATCTGATTTTAAG